CTGGCGAGGAGACAACCAGGGGCGGAGGCACTTGTCATGTTACCCGGGCTGTAGCCCAGGCTGACTTTGAAACAACCACAACATTATATATAAAATTCTCATTTTTTTTTTCAATTCTTGTTTTATTTTTAAGTCATTAGCCTGGTCAAATATTGAGACCCGTAAACAATTCCAAGTAAGCTATTAAAGCATATTTTTTCATTTCAAGTTAGCGTCTTTAAATTTTTGGTTATGACATGTAAGTAAAAATACTTGTATTTTATTATTTATGTGTTGGAAAGTTGAAATATAAACAATTTTTTTACCAGTAGATTACGGTTTTTTTCTTATGATGTTTTTAATTTTAAATTTTTCTATTGCACTCATTCAAATACCGATACTATTTGTTTGATTCAAATTGATGAAATATAAATATTTATGATCAAATGCATGACATTTCATAACGTAAATATATATTTTATTAATTAGACATGTTCTCTGTTACGAAACAACCGATTACAGTTGGTTAAATATTTAAAATAGTAACAGTAACTACTTATTGCCACGTCGGAGTTGTTGACGATGATTATTGTTACGGTCCGGTTGGAATTGCTTGTTTTTATTCAAGTTGCCAGTTTTCCATTATTATTGTAATGTTAAAAATTGAATAATTCTTTAGAAACTACCAAATTTTTACAAAGCCGTATATTTTTGAAAAAAAAAATAAAAAAAAAAAATTGTTGAGATAGTTTTCCAGCATTTATTTTTCTGAACTTTGAGAAATCCTTTGATTTTTTTTTTCTTCCCCAAAATTTTCAGTTTTTTCCTCTTCTATTCAATAACCACCTTTAAGGCGGTTTAGACATTTTTCAATCTGTAACCGGACTATCAAATCGTAATAGATACTACTGCCAACGGTTAACCGAACTATTGATTGATGGTTCGATCCGCGTGTTTAGTGGTTCATTACAAACCTTGAAGATGTCTATTTGTGATATTGTCATATTTTAGTAGAATAGTTATAGCCCAGGTAAACATTTAATCCTGGCTACGCCCCTGGAGACAACTCAACACAGATTTGAGCTAGCCTAAAGGTTCGGGAGGGAGAACTGCCATGACGGCGAGAGGCCGAGTGGGTGTCTCCATCCGCTCTCAGATCTATCGAACGAGAGGCTAGGAGGACGCCAACAACCTGACCGGAGGCTGGAGGTGAAGTGGCATTGAGGCGGCGGCCCGCCAAAAAGAGGGGGGGCTGCCGCTGCCGAAAGCTCCCTTTTTTTGTGCTTCGGTTTTTAGTGAGAGAGAATAGAGAGGCAGAAAGTATAGTTTGATATATTGTTTGGTTTTATGAAATACGCATTTGGTGGAAATTGGTTGAAATGATACAAACAAAGCTTATTTGAATATAGTGAGTTTATAAGTTAACCAAACAATCTATAAGCTAGTTTATTTACCTACCAAATATATCCTTATTATCTCTTCAATTTGTTTATAATTTTTAATTCAAGAATTAATCATTATCACACACAGTGGCGGAGCCACCAGTATGGCGAGGCATGGCGGCTGCCATACCTGGCCGCCGGCGAACACTCCCCCACCCCCCCAGTGTCACCGCCAAATTTGAAGGGCCGATTGTCTACCGGTCTACCCCACCGATATCCGCCATGGGTGCCTATTGTCGGAAGCTCTAAGTAGCTGCGTTGAGAAATGAGAAGGAAAAAATTTAGAGAATTTGATGAAGGAAGAAAAAGGAAGGATTTGGGAATTGGGGATTTCTGCCGAGGAAGGAAAATGACGGGAATGAAAGAGGAGAGAGGGAGAAGAAAAAGAAAAAGAAAAAAAGAAATAAAGTAGGATGAGTTGGGCTTTAATGAATTGATTGGGCCTTTGAGATTGATTTTGGCCTGAACACAAGTACCCAAAAAAAGGCTACAAAAGTTTTTCACAGTTTTAGACATTACTCGAAATGTCATTGACTTTCCACATTTTCCACTTTCTGTATTTTAAAACTTAATTATGAACATTGTTAATGACCAGTAAATTAGAAGGGCCCCCAACCGAAGTCACCGCCAAATTTGAAGGGCCGATTGTCTACCCCCAACCGAACGCCAGGCCGAAGTCACCGAACCCTTCAGCTTCACCTTCGCTCTCACCTTTCACTCTCAGAGTCGTCGGACGCGCCATATGCATATTCGATCGGTACTAGGGCCCCATCTTGAAGTTTAGCACTGGGCCCCTAATTTGACCGGGACGCCCCCCAGTTCTTGCTGTTCGCGGTTCTTGCCAGTTCGCGTTTATCTGTTCGCCATGGCGGCCGTCGTCCTTCGATACTGGAGGAGGAAGACAAAGAGAGACAGTCAGACAGGTAACGTTTCGCGTGGGGTTGGGCTGGGCTGCAGTCTGGGATATGTTGTCCTCTTGGGCTTGGGCCTTTGCCACTTTGTGCCTTGTGAAGCCCAATCGGCAAAATATCATAAGCAAGGCAGGCAGGCAGCCGAACAGACGAGATGTCGCGATCGATCTGAATTCTCTCGACTCCCTTTCTCTTGAACCGCTCTCGCAGTCGCCGACGCCGACGCCCACCGGCAGTACTACTCCATCCGCTCGCCGCCATACGTAAATTTTTATCCTGGCTCCGCCACTGATCACACATCATTATTTCTATCCATTACACCATCACATCATTTTATATTTTAAAAGTAATATTTTTCTGCTAAATTTTATTTCTCCAAACAAAATAAATCCTAATGAAAGAATATCCTATTTAACTTCCTTTTTCTATAGTTGAAAAAAATCGGATCCTTAGATTTGTAAGTTACATAAATATTATTGAAAAAAATCCTATTAAAAACATTTCTAATGATAATTCTCAATTGGTAATTGGTGTTCTCTATATTCAAAAAAAAAAAAAAGAATATTAACAAATTTTCTTCTACATGATGAATGATATCAATACAATTATTTCAAATTGACAAACCATTTTTTCCATTTCATTTTTATTTTTATGAATTTGAAAATATTTAAATTAGTTTACTATTTATTTCTTTTATGAATGTTATTAGAACTTGAAGTAAAAAAGAGAACATACTCGATATTGTTAATATGATTTTCTATTTTCTAATAAGATATAAGGGCATCTGCATTCCTTGGATGCAAGTCCATTTAAATGTCATTTGGTTCATTCAAACAAACGTGGCACATTCATGTAAACGAAAAGTATATGAGTCTCACATTTTATGTTCAATCCAGTCAAAAAAACATATGGGCTCCACATTTTTTGTTCAAACATTAAAGAGTGTAACATTTTTAAATGTGAGCTGAGTGTTAAATTTATTCTCCTGTTGGGAGCAGATACTTGGGTATTACTTTATTGGGGCCTTTTTAGTTTTTTAGTGTTTTTGTGTGTTAGTGTTGCTTGTATTACCCCGTTGGGATCGGATCTAGGCAGTCATAGATTGTATTCTAGTCATAGACTGACCTCCCACTTTTTAGCTGTTGGCTGTTCTTATTCAGCTAGTAGCTGCTTGTATTAGCACATTTGTGCAGTTTGTTTTATAATATTATCTATCGTTTTGAAAAAAAAAAAAATATTTTTAAAAAAGTAAATGTTATCACTCCTTATATATTAATTCAAAACGTGTTGAGCCTAAGTGACAGATTCTCACGCTTCGGATGCTGCATAGCGAAAATTTTCGTGATGTTTTTATATTATTTTTGCTCTAAGTTAGGTTTGGTATTAAACATAATAACTTTTATCATATATTTCTTAACTCAACATCACCAGTGTTATACACGGGTACTATACTAGTTATATATAGTGGGATTATGCCGTGAAGGTTATGTGGACGGGAGAGATGATGATTGTGTTGAAATAAATATGGATGAATATGGATGTCTAGACATGGCCACGGGCCGTCCCGGCCCCGGCTCAGTCCCGGCTCGGCCCGCAATTGGCCCGTAGGTTGCCGGTTCCGAGAACTGTCACCGTGGCTTTACGGGTAGTGTCTGGATCTGGTTTTTCTATTTTTGGTCCCGGCAGGTTGGGACCGGGCTGAGACAGGGCCGGTTCACGGGTCCGGTCCTTGGTTTTTGGCGGGCCAATTAAGAGTCACCCATTGGAGGCCCGATGGCCCGGCTCGTTGACCGAATATCTCTATATAGGATATCTTAAATTCTAATCTAATAAATAATAAGCAAAATGAAAACCAGACGGGGCTTGAATTGAATAAAGGCCCATTAGGGTTTTCTTATGTTAAATTTTCCTCCATATATAAAAACGCTACACGCAAATCGTTTCAGCCGTAAAACTAGGGTTTGGGAGTTTGCTCGCTCGTCTTCGCCAGCATCAAGCACAGACGCCCTTCTTTGAAAATGGTACTTTCTCTTCAATTCTTATGCATGTTTTAGCTGTTCTATTATGGTTGGAGCTGCAAAATAGCTTTAATTGTCTCAGACACCCTTATCATCTACTGCATTTGCTTTTATATTTTCCTTTTTTGTCGATTTCATTTAGTCGGAGACATTTTAGCTCAGGTTTTTGTTCACGTTGATATGAAAGTGATGATTCTTTGTAAGAAAGCTGGATTCTAATCCTAATCTTTGAAGGATCAAAATTTTGGGGATTAATGTATTCCCAATGAAATCACAATGAAATTGTACGTTTATTTGCTTTAGCTGTTCGGCGCAATGCACCTTGAGTCGCTACGGAAACAGTCTCCTTGTATAATTACAAGGGTAAGCTCTGCGTACAAATGACCCCCAGACCCCAACCTGTTGGGAATATACTGGGTATGTTGTGATGTTGTGATATGTTGTGATTTGCTTTAGCTGTTCAATTCGATTATCAAATCTGAGCAAATGTTATAAGTAACAACGTATTGTGTCATCAGTACTTTGTGGTGTATGGGTTAAAGCCAGTTCCTCTTATGCTATTTCTGTCTGTTAATTTGAGCAGAGTGTGTCACTTGTATTCTAAGCGTTACCATTTGGGTTTCGCTGGTCTAGTCTCACGGGCTTCTGTTTATATTTTTATGTAATCTATGTGTTAATAACAACAACCCATGACTCAGTTTGGTTATGGTTGCATGTGGATTTTGATTGATCTGGTAATCTCGTTGATTTGAGTTTCGTCCTCGTAAAAATAGTGTCTTGATGCTTTTTTGTTCTGATTATGTTGTTTATATGCAGCCGAAGCAAATTCACGAGATTAAGGACTTCTTGCTGACAGCTAGGAGGAAGGACGCTCAATCTGTGAAGATCAAGAGGAGCAAAGATGTTGTCAAGTTCAAGGTTCGATGCTCAAAGTATCTGTACACCCTCTGTGTCTTTGACCCTGAGAAGGCTGACAAGTTGAAGCAATCCCTTCCCCCAGGTCTGTTTTACTTACGAGCATAGTTTATTAACAAGTGTCTTGTTTTATCTGCTATAACTAATCTCTGCAAGAATATTGACCTTTTAGTGTAGCATTCAGATCATATGAAGCTGTTTGCAAGTTTGTTGAGTGTTTTCATTGAAGGATATCATATTTGATGTGATTTGTTGAACATCTCACTGCCCTGTTTAAATTTGAAATTACCGATACCATATGTTCTTGTTAGATTCTGAAGGCAGGCTGGCTAATGTTTATTATGAATTGTTATTTTTGTTTTATTCATGGCATATTCGGACATATTGCC